CTGTGAAAACTTGTATTTCAAGTGGGAGTGTGTCTGGGGTAGAATCTATCAAAACCATGTGAAAAATATCCCTCCCAAGCTGTGCCCTGGCGTGTCTGTCCCACGTCAGCACGTTTGGGGCCACTCCCCACCCCCCAAATGCATGCCTAACACTTGTAATGGTCAAGATGTTTCCGAGACCAGAGAGGAAGTTAGCTCTCTGCTTGAGCGAAAACTACCTGCTGTTTCTCAAGGAAGCGCGTGTTGGCCTAACTCCATTTCAACTGTCATCGAGCCTCAGGGCACTTTGTTGAAATGATCCACCGGTGAGGGCTCCGTGAACTGGTGGGCCAGTATGGGATTCTTCCCCGCCACGCAAGAGACCTAGGTCTGATTTCTGGTGAAGGAGCGAGGAGAGGGAGGAGGAAAGGAGGAAGGGCTGCTTTTAAAGCAAAATCCCGCCCCCCCCGCCCCCCACCCGCCCTTGCGCCACTCGGTGAAGATGCCCCAACGGACGCTTCCTCCCGGCGAGCGGGCCAGGCTGAGCCCGGAGGAGGGGCTCCGCGGCGCGGGAAGCCCAGGTGAGGAGGCGACCCCATAGACGGGCTAACACCTCGGGCTTCCAGATTCACCTGGCACCCATCGCCCGGGAGGAGCCGGGTGCACACCACTCCCCGGGGCTTGGGGGACAGGCCGGGAGCGTCCTGGGATGCAGAGCGACCAGCGTCCACCACGGTACTTCAGTGAGTGTTCCCACTGCCGATTTAAACGCTCATGCGCCCAAGGAGGCCGATGCCCAGCAGTTCCTGAGAGCCGCTTCTGGGCGCCAGCCCTGAGCCTGGAGGCCTCTGTGTCCGCCCAGGGGGGTGAGGCAAGGGGGGCGGGGAGCACAGAGAACGAGGAGGCCTAGGACCCCCAAATATACTTGGAGCGGGAGCATGTGCCAAATGTTAGAAATGTAGACCGAAGCCAGGGCTGCTATTCCAGAGACTGCTAAATTTTGTTAACAGAGGGGCGCCGAGCTGGGGGATAAAGGATCGCACAGTGGTACCAGGTGGGAGGACAAAGATGGCAGGGAAGGCCTGGGTGAGCTTTGGGAGAGGGCGGGGAGGCCTGTGCACACACCCACCTGTGCTCTGTAGTCTCCAGCCTGGCTTCTCTCCTCCCTCCCCCTGGAGGGGCTGCAAGAGCCCCAATCTCACCTGGTGTGATTTCTTCTGAAAGGAAAAGTCCCGGGACAGTGAGTGGGTCTCAAGCTTGTGTGTGCTTGGGACCATTTAAACCACCACCACAACAATGCACATTCCTGGCCCTCCCATAAAAAACAAAAGACCCAAACCCACTGCCACCTGGTCAATCTCAACTCCTAACAACCCTCCATGGGGTTCCTGAGGCTTTGCAGATCTTTCTGCAAGTGCACAGCCTCATCTTTCTCCCCAAGTGAGACTAGTAGGCTTGAACCGCTGACCTTGCAGTTAAGAGTCTAACGCTTACCCAGTCTAACAGCACCACCAAGGGCCTCCCTTACATTGTCATTAAGTCTAGGATGGGGCCTGGGAAACCTGTATTTGGTTCTCAAAGCGACATTTGTGATACACAAATTTTGTGTGCGCATCTTTTCGTCATGAATTTCAACTCCAATGTCATCTTGAAGTGGTCCATTCCTATTACCACTTACCCAAACTACACCTCACCCCTACCCGAGTCTCTATCTATCTATCATCTATCTGTAGAGCAGTTATTCCCCAGAGCAATTGTCAATGTTTGGTGCAATCTACGGACTTTTGTCCCCAACTAAGATCATATGCTCCAGGATGGCAGCCTAGTGAAAAAGGATTTGGAGCTGCCTCCCTGCCCTTAGGAGCCCTAGTGGCATAGTGGTTATGCATCAGGCTGTGGTCCACAAGATCAACAGTTCAAAACCACCGGCTGCTCCAAGGGAGAAAGATGAGGCTTTCTGTTCTCGTCAAGGGTTACAGTGTCGGAAACCCACAGGGGCTATTCTACCCTCTCCTATAGGATCACTATGAGTTGGAATCCACTCAATGGCAGTGAGATCCTGTCCCTGTCATGCCTGGGGAGCATCCTCCCAGTCCCTTTGTCACAGAGAGATCCCATATATGAAGATGTGCCACCAGCCAAGAACACTGCTCCAGTATCTGGTTCTGGGTGCCCTTGATTCGATTCCCATGGGTGGTGACCCTATGTGTATCCCAGTAGAACTCTGCTCCGTGGGATTTTCAGAGGCTGGCTTTTCTCAAGTAGTTACCAGAACTCTCTTCCAAGGCACCTTCGGGTAGACTCAGGCCAAGCATGCTAACCGAATGCACCATCCAGGGCTTCTGGTGTTCAGGCACAATTCCAGGCCTGGTGGGAGAAGAAAGGTCACCTTCCGGAGTCCCTGAGTGGGCATGGTGCTTGTTGGGCATCTGGGGAGCATCCCCCGCCCTTGCACAAGTAGCCCAGAGGAGGGTGGTGAGGGGGGTTGGTCAACCTGTAGTACACACCATATTGGGTCTCTCTCCCCACCCACCCTGAGAAGGAATTCCAGGTTTTGTAGCCCTGGCCTGTGTGTCCAACTGAAGGCTCCCTGAGACTATGACAGATGGGGTAACAGGCTCCAGGCCCCCCAACCCCCAGCAGATCCTACAATTAGCCACAACCTGGATCCATGAAGGCTTCAGTGGATGCCCACTATGTGCAGCTGAGGAGGCGCATCTGCCAGGCAGCGCCCTCTGTCCATAGCCTGTGGTGACTGATTGACTGCCGCTCTGGCTTGAGAAGGGGGCTCTCTGCGCTTGTTTGTCCTCCAACTTCCCCCCTACCCCTACCTCCATAGGTACACACACCATGACAGAACCCATGCGGGAACCACTCTGGGGCTTTAGACCCCACTTGAGGGGCAACATGTATGAGGGAGAGAGCTGCTCTGCTCTCTGGGTTCAGGCCTGCCCCTCCTGGGGGGGCTCCCTTCCTGCATTTTTAGACTAGGTCCAGATCCATTGATGTGGGTCAAAACATCCACTTACGGGGCTATAGATAGCCTGACCCAAACAAAGGAAGAAAAATAGAAAATATCAGAGTGTGTTGAAGGAAAGGTTTAAGTGCTGTGAAAACTTGTATTTCAAGTGGGAGTGTGTCTGGGGTAGAATCTATCAAAACCATGTGAAAAATATCCCTCCCAAGCTGTGCCCTGGCGTGTCTGTCCCACGTCAGCACGTTTGGGGCCACTCCCCACCCCCCAAATGCATGCCTAACACTTGTAATGGTCAAGATGTTTCCGAGACCAGAGAGGAAGTTAGCTCTCTGCTTGAGCGAAAACTACCTGCTGTTTCTCAAGGAAGCGCGTGTTGGCCTAACTCCATTTCAA